CATGTGCAAAATAATGGGATCCAATTTCGATTATTATTCTGAAAATTTTAGGCTCTTTTTTAATTTCTTCCCAACTTCTAAGCTACAAAACATACCTGTCTATATTAATGGGATGGTTATCACATGCTTAAGCTAGTGCAAAATATATTAGGAGATCAAAAAAATAATAATGGTGATGGCCAATATATTAAATGGGACAACATGGTTATAGAATTACATGAAATTCATTAGAGTAAAGCATGCAGCTAAGCAAACATTGCATGCAGCAGACCAACTAAAAAATAAAATAAAATGAATGTTCGTTTGGCAGCTAAACTACAAACTCAAGTGTGAGCTCAGTTATTATTTTTTGAAGAGGTAGGTTTAATGAAAAATGTAAAACCGACTGCAGAATTTTGTCAATACATGAATTATGTTTTTGATTTATTAAACTGTCGAAACAAATTGTGCAAAGGAGATTATGATTTTACCCATAAATGAAGAAACTGTTTTTAAAGCTAAACAATTTCTTGAACAATTTAAATTGTATGTCGATTGTCTAAAGTTTGAACCATTACCAACCAATTTGGAAGGAGAGCTAATATTAAAAAGCCAAAGAAAACCTGGATTCACGTTAAAGTCTCATCATATGTCTAACAAACACAATAAATTTATTTTAAGTTTTAAAAAAAGAAAGAATGTCATTTTTACCGACTTATAAACTTAGCCAAGATCATATTAAGATATTTTTTAGCGCTATGAGAGCAGAGGTGGATATAACAACAACCCAAATTTGATGCAATTCAAATCTGCTTACAAGCGTTTGTTGGTTCGACATAAAATACAAGGTTCAGTGTATGCTAAATGCTCTCCACTTGATACTTCTAATATACTTTATGTTTAGTGCAAGCAAAAGGACGGACGCAGCCGCAGTTCACACTGAAATCGATGGAAATCGATGTTGAGAAGCACATTTTATATGATGAATTTGATCACGATTACAATTATTACCATATGCCTGAGCTAGAAGAAATGTGGTGGATGTCGAACAGTACACAAGCGGCTTCATTGTACGAAAGATCCAAAAAATTAATCTCTTTGTAAAACATATGATTCATTTCTAACAGTTGATAATGATAACCATCAATATTCTTCCAAGTTGTTTTGGCTAAAAAATAAGGGGAGATTAATAAACGTATCTTCCGTTGCTCTAAACATGTTTAGTGACAGCATATATAATTAGAGTATGTAATGAAGATTTATTGAGTTCTGACAAAATAATATTCAATTCAAGAGAAATAAAAGATCACATAACTATAACAAGATCCGTTAGATATCCACCGTAGCCATTTACTAAAATTAATAGTTGATTGTTACATTTCCCTGCGATTTCATCATTTCGCGAAATCGTATACTTTTGCAATTAGTGGTCTGAACATACTGCATGAGTATACAAAACAAATTTTATTTCATAACCAATAATTCTAATTGTTGATATTTTAATAATAATTTTGTTTTTATTTATTATTAATCATAATGATAATGATGAAAATAATAGAATGTGATCAAATAAATATTATAATATGACCAACGATTCACTGAGACACTAACTACCATTATTTAACAATTATATATTTTAAAAGTATTTTTAATAGTATAATAGGTATCTCCTATATTAATATTATAAATACTAATTAGTATAACAATTAAATAATATAAGCATTAACTATTAAATAAAAGCAAAGCAATCCGAATTCAGTCCCACCTTGAAGTTATTGCTGTCCTTATTGAACTGAGAAACCCTCAATGCATCTGTAATATTTATGTAGCTAACAGCAAAAACTAAATCATACAACTGCTGCCAAAACCTTTTATACTTTTAGGGGACTTCAATAAAACGTAGTGCCCCCGAAACCGATAACAGCCGCAGCATATAAAATGGATCCACAATTGCGAGAAGTACAATAGAAAAAACTGTTTGTAACAAAAGAAATCTGATCCAATATTAGGAGGACACTTTATTGATATGTGTTTGTCGTCGATGCTGCCAAAACAATTTGGAAAATTCCATTTCTTTATAACCGATCTCGGAGTTTTTCCAAGTTTCTTCCGTATGTTTAGGCACATATATGAGTTGTAAGACATTCCAAATTTCTGTACCGACTGCTTTCACTATTATGCCCACAGTTGTACGTCCGACACGAATTGATAAGAACCACATGAGGGCGAGTACCTAAAAAAAAATGACACTGAGAAATTTATATCAAAAAAAATCGGGAACTCACAGTTGCTGTACAGTAGGGGTGGAGTGAGCCTCGGTCATAGAGTACTATATATAGTCACTATATTGGATGTATTAAATTTGAATGCAATGATAAATATCATTAAACATACACGAAAAACGATTCTAAACTGAGATTATTTGTCAGTCTATGATATTTTATTTATTTAATATATATCTTAAACCGTTTTATGGCGAATCATTTAAAATAATAAAATAATGAAATTTTCATATTTTTATTATTGTAAAAATTTAAAATTTAGATGTCACCATCGTAAAATCAATATATTCATCACTCTATTCAGAATCTTAAATAATTATAAATTATATTGTTTTATGAACAGACGAAGTGCTAAAAAAAAATGGAAAAGCCTAAGAGACAACTATTTACGATACAAAAAAGAAATAAAAGGTACAACAGGACAAGTCACTGAAAAGTATCAAAATTGGCCGTGGCAAGTCAGTTACAATTTTTAAACAAAACTTAAGCTCCGAGACTAACGATTTCCAATACTACAACTAAAATTCCATTAGAGATACAGACACAAGAATTAACTTCTCCTCCACGTATAACTACTCCACAGGCATCAACATCATTTTTAGACGTCGAAGAATCGGATGAACCAGAATTAAACACGCTTACTGATTCAACATTACCAGCACAGAAAATAATCGAAACAAAAACGTAAAGAACCTAATCAAACCGGTTGGCGTAGACAAAGTTATTGATTATCTGCAGAATAAAAAGAAACATACATATGCTAGTGTCGACCACTTATTTCTCATTTATGCAGGAACCTTAAAAAGAATTTCAGAGAGGAATAAAATAAATGTTAAACTAGAACTTGCTAAATTATTCAATGACATGGAATTAAAAGAACTAGACGAACGTGGCCCTTCAACTACACTTTCCAAACATACTTCAATGAGCAATTATTCAACTGACTGATTTTCTTCAACCAAAATCAAAAGATTTTCAAAACGTGATGTCATCATCAGAAAACTATTCTACAGGGTATACTTATAATGAATATCATTACCAACACTTACAATAGTTACTAATATTAAGTATAATAAATAATAATTTAATTGATTAAAAATGTAATTTGTTTTTAATTAGTTATTTTTATTGCATACCTGAGGCAAATAAATTACAAGTCTTTCTGTTGCGGTCATTGGATGAATCCAGTTTGTAATTCTTTTTTTAATCCTTGGTAAAATAAGTTCGTACAATTCTTCAAAACTATCTTAGGACATCTAGAAGTACAAATAAAAATGGTCTTCATGTGACTCATGTTCATGACATAAACGGTGGTATTTGGGATCATTTTCTCTTTTTTTATCTATTTAATGAACCCAAATTCGCTTCCTTTTTTGTTGACTTTCAGCTATTGTATATAAAAGTAATAGTTCTTCTTCGTCTGAACTATTGTACAAATTTTTAATCTTTAATGTAAACTGTACCATCTATACCTTGCAAATGTACTAACAACACTGATACACTGCTATATCAACACACAACCTACCTATTTTAACATGACGCTTTGGTTTCTGTGTGACGTATGTAACGTCAGCGGTAGCGTAAATAACGCGAGGTGAATGACGCGCTCTGTCTTACAGAGCCTTAAACCAAAGAAAAATGGAGCAAATTCCTGTGAACAGTTTAAAACAATGAGTCTTCTGACACATACGTCAAAAATCCTAACAAAAATAATAAATCGGAGAATAGAAGGAAAAGCAGAACAGTACTTAAAACATGATTAATATGGATTTAGAAGGCAAAAAGATACACGAAAAGCAACTTTAAGACTGCGAATGTTAATTTAAAAACAGATAGATATAAATAGAGTTACATATTTAGCCTCATTGATCTGGAAAAGACCTCCGACAGTTGATTGGAATACAATGCTGCTCACATAACGAGAAATAGGTGTTGAATAACATTACCTAAGAGTTATTCAGTCTACAAAATCAAACAGTTTGCATGGAAAAAGAAGAAATTACTGCAAATATAAAAAAGTAGTCTGACAAGGGTATACGTTATCACCTCCACTATTTAACTGCTACATCGAAAAAGTTATAAATACAGTGAAAGCCAAGCTAACAAGACATATAGTACTATAATTTGCTTTTTCCAGTTCATCAATTTTGGAAAAATATTTCACCAGGAGAATCATGCAAGAGTGTTCCAATTATTGTGTTCACTATATACCTACCCTCAACATCTGGTTTAGTTAGTCACTGATTTTTTTTTTATTCACTGGTACCTAATTGAGTGATCAAAAATCAATAAGACAATAATAATTAATAGATACGTTCTAAAAACGAAATAATTTAAATTAATTAAATACTATCGACTTTCTTTTATTACATCTTCATTTACTACATGAATATTCATGTCTTCTTTTAGACAAAGTTTAAAAGGTTTAAAAAAAAAATCTATTGTACGTTTCATTTCAAATTTAATAAATTCAAATTAACAACAGTTAAAGTAAGTGAGTGTAAGTAAGTGTAAGTAATACTAGGCAAAATGGTACGAAAAGATGTTCATCGTCTCAAGGAAAGTTATTGGCCGATGACCAATTGTCCATGTACGGCATTTTTCTGCGGTGACCAATTGTCTGCATACCGTGTTATCATACAACAGTAAATGCTAGCGGCAGTAGTAGCAACCTATTGTTTCCCTCTCGAAATGAGTCTCACGATTAAACGGCCACAGGTTGCGCTGCGGTCGCCAAGTCGCTACTATAACCTGTGTACTTATTTTTCAGTACGGATACACTATTGTTTTATAGCGTTGGTTTCTCAAGCCTCGGCGACATTCCGACGACGTTTTGAAACGTAATTCATCGAACTTACATTCTCAATCCGACTAGGTACGACTATTGTTATCACGTGAATACGTGATTTTCATGGTCATGCCGTCGCCGCGTTCGTACACCTCGTCCGGCCTCGACGACGTGAACGACTATGATTTGGACGACCTAGGCTGCACTTTGGATATAGTACACGAGTGAGTGCCGAGTTTTTATTTTTGTTATGAACCACTGACCATTGAGTCATTCTCTATGTTAAGTGTGTTTAAATTTGATTTGATAAACTAAATTTTTGTTTTGTGGTAATTGAAATATAAGTTTGACACATGGGTAGGTCATTCTTTATAATCAAAATAATACTTCTTTGATTTTGACTTAATATACTACTACTTATATGGTAAATACTCAATATTTACTTAACTCTGTCTCAAGAGAATGATAAATGTACTGAATTATTTTCATGTATGCTGTGTTTTTACCACCAACAACCGGGTGTTAGCATGATCACTTGGTCCTTGATGTGTCAACCGCATCATTCGTGATGCGCATAATCTGATTTTTCTCTTTTGAGAAGTATATTTTAGACTGTATTTTCTATACTAGAATACCTTCTATGAATATTTTTAATGCTTTGCGACAATAGTTTTGGTTTTAATTCTGGCCTTTAAAATATTCAATTGTATTCTGAAACCAGTACTCTTTACCTTTTCATAAAAACATCAGTCAATAACATTGTTAATAACCACTAATTTATTTCTGTCAACCTATAATATTGAGTTTTAGACACAATCACACAGTATATTGTTCGATTGCCATCCAAACATTTATGTTCCAAATTATTATTTTGTGCAGCTGTAATTTTGTGCAGTTTTGTAATATTACTGTTGGTCAGCACTACCTATCCAAAACCAAATCATTGGCTACAGTGCACTATTATTTATCCGTGCCATCGCGCAAATTTGTACGATATAAATATTATGTAATAAATTATCTTACTCATTTTTGTTATATATTATTATGTAGTATTTACCTTGGTGTATATAAGTCAACTTGTTCTTGTGAGTTGTCTATTTAAAAAATGACTATATTGTGTTTTTTATTTTTTGTTTATTACCTAGAATTGACAAATTTCTCGAAGGACTTACATCTGATTGTGCCGATTTACCAGTAAACAATGATAAGCAAATTGATAACAATATAATTGATGAAATTCAAACATCCAATTTGGTAAGAATCATTAACCATATACATGAGTATATTCACATTAAAACAATTGAATATTTTTATGCCATCTATTAGTATTTTCATTACCATGTTAATCAATACTACCGCATGTAGATTATGTAAATATTTTTAGTATATTATCTTTGAGGTCTTTAAATTCTTAATCTTTTTATTCTTTGTTTACATTCATATCCAAGCATATACGTATACCTATTATCGGGATTGGTCAGTAAAGTCATCAATAGAATAAACAGAATAGGTATATTGATTGCAGTTATAAATGTTTATGTTACTGCCACAGTTGTAAATTAAGGAATAAACGTTAATAATGTTATTTTTATTTAAATTAGACTTTATAGTATGATATTGACTAGAAAATAACGTAAATATCATTTATTTTTAGGCACTGATATGTATTTAGCATTTCGTAGGGAGTGACAATAATTTCGGTCTTTCTTAGCCATAATCCACAAAAATGTTTATTGATCTTGATTGTAGAATTAGAAACTGACTTGTGTTGAAAAATCAATTTCTCTAATAGTTACTAACAATAACACACTTTCGGGTCCTGTAATATGTCAACAATCGTACAGTATTATATTCAGTACGCGATTATTAGATACATTTATATAGTATATAGTAGTTCTATAATAGAAATCCCGATAACAATATAACATTTGTTGTTCACTTTTTTACTGTAAATTATAATATTTATTGTATATTTACATTGCTTATAATATAGTGAATACCTAATGGTTAACTGTTTGTTTGTATACTGTGTAGTATAATTTTAAATTTCTTACACAATTTGAACATCTTGTTGATCAAAATTATTAAAATTGTCTACCAGTGATAGACATTAATTTAATTTTCTTGTCATAGTCATAAACATGTCAACAAAATATTGTTATGCATTGACAATATGGGCATCATCTTATTGTGGCCCAAAGTAACCTTTTTCATATCCTGATTGCGTCCAATACATATTTTGATATAAATATAATTATTGCATTCACAATTCAAACAATTGCCAATATTTGGCACGGTGATTTACAGTCCACTAGAGATAAAAGAAAAAGGCATATTATTTAATAGATACAACTGTATCGACAACTAATAAAAAAAATTATACAAATCAAAATTGAAAAATTAGAAACAAAGGAAATATGTAATTTTGAGTTATTTAAAATAAAAAGTTATAAAAATCTTCCTATGACACAATAATTTAACTTTTTTACTCTATTATTTATAGACTTGACTATTAAGTCATTTATATATTATTAATTTGTTTCATAAAAAATGATTTACCTACTATAAGTTATTATTATAATATAAAATTATTGTTGAGTATTTCAATATTACTGACAAACTTTTTTTATTGTAAAAATGTTTGCCTTTTTGAATATGACTAATTGTATGGTGCATTTTAATGAAAATATATATTTATACAACTTTATTTCTATTTTATAAATTATACATTATTTTGTGAACCAATGTTTGTTTGGATGCAATCGGGACATTTGTATTTGGTCAATAATGTATTTGGCCTTAAATTACATGATGATGGTAACAGACATTTTTGTTGTCAATACTGATTTAACACTATTTAGTTTTAATACACATTTTTAGATTTTAAAACACATTAAAAATCATAGTATTAAAAATTTTAATTAAACTACATTCAAAATTGAAGGCATTTATCAATTTAGCTTATTTTGCCTTGTAGAATCCTTATAAACTCATCTATTCTTATATTTAGCTTCTGTAGATAACAAAATTAAAGAATCAGTTATAGCTATTTACATTATAAATTGTATTAATTTATAGTTGTATTGTATTAGTGTATAAATGTATTTATTATTCTTATATAATCTTTTTTATATATAAAAATGGACCCTATTCCCCCCTTTGTCACGGCATCCCTTGAGGCGCCTTCACCAATTTCATTCATGTTTTTTTATTAATTAAAGAGGACACTGCAGAGTAGATTTTTAGGCATAAGTTTAGTCCTCTAAGGTTGCGGTTGTGGGAGAAATGTACGGTGGTGATGAAATGTCGTAATCTTTCTAGCAAAAAACTAAACTAGATAATATAATTTTTTGTAACATTCATTAGACATACCTAAAAATGATATTCCTAACACAATTTTTTTGACCAATGTCTGATAAAAGCTAGAGGATTCTAGATAATTTAAATATATCTATGAACTAGATATAACTTTGATACTTTAGAGTTAAATTATACACAAACATATGCACTTCGCTGGGTTTTCAATCTAAGTGCGGGAGATTGCCTACCTGATAATAAACTACTCACTTAATCATTAGTGAGTCTCACAGACAATGCTGGGAGTGGCATTAGATTAAAATATAATATAATTTACACTTAAAGAGACATTTATTGAATCACAAGTTTTTTTTCTTGGCAAGGCCAGAGTGGGCAGCTAGTATATATTTTATATATATTAGTGTTCCTTAGCTATGTGAGAAAAAAAAAACTATATTTTTGATCTCGCAACATAAATCAGTGTGTATTTGTATAAAAAATAAATTACCAGAAATTTTAGGTAAATCAAATAAGATTAATTTGTGCCGACTTGAACTTAATGCATTAGAAAAATATTTGTCATTTTTGATATTTCTTTAAATAGTTTGTAAGCAGTTTAGAAGATTATATTTTTATCTTGAGTTTTTTCAAGTAAATTAAATGTCTGTACATTTTTTGATTAATTCTTTGATTTATGAAATGTATAAGCTTAAAAATGTAAAATTAATAAATTAAATATGTGTACCTTTTTTACAATTGTATTACATTTTTTGATGTTCTTTCACATGTATACTGTAGTAAGATGAACTGTTTTTGCTTCTCATTGAATTTCAATGTTCCATTAAAATTGTCCATCAATTTCGCTGCCCTTTCTGCAATATCATTGACTTTGAATGAGTCAAGCACATTTTATGTGCTTATGAAATCTGTACTTGATTTCAAGGATTTCGGATCATTTTTTAAGAATTCATTGTCCATGGTCCATCAAGAAAATAGTTTTAAACTTCTCTCTGATATAGATCATCTACATTATAATTTAAACCTTCAAAAGTAGCTTGCGGAACATTACAGAACGCTGTTTTTTTTGTATCCATCTAAAGTTCCAGAAAATATGTATTATTAGGTACATATCAAAAATATCTATAATTTTTGAAAAATTTATCAAGTTCACTCTGGCACAGTTAACCTTATTTGGTTCACCTACAATTTCTAGGAATATATACATATTTTTTTTTTATATGATTTGTTACTGTTATATTATTTTTGTTGATTATTAGATTAGATTATAAAGTATTTTAGTTATTAATTACTATTTTTTATTTCAATTGAATAATATTTTCTTTCATATTGTTTAGAAATCTTGAAATCTAACTTGTTAAAAGTTTTTTAACTAAGTTTTTTAATAATATAAATTAAAAAATAAATAAATGTTTTGAAATATTTAAATATTTGTTTTTTTTTATTATTATTTAGGAAGTAGTTGATAACAGCAGAACTTCAACCAATCAGATTGATGTAGAATTTGTTGGGTAACACCTTTTTTGTTTCAATTATTATAAGATTTATTTTTGTACAATGTAAAAATGTTAAAATGTTAAAAAAATATAGTAAAGATTCAGCTGTGTTTCAACTCCTGGAAGACCACGAGAATTTTGGTGTATATGAGCACAATCCAAATGAATGTAACTGGAATGTTTTTTATAAAACACTCCCCCCTGTAAGTTATTTGTCTTAGAAAACAAAATTTTAATTTAAAAATAGCTGTAATATTATGATTTACTGTTTTCTAAACTTCTCATGTAAATAATGTATTCTTTTAGGGTGAACAAAAATTTGTCAAAGTAGAGCCAAAGACTGAAATTGTCAATGGTAATTATCAACTATTTTATATTTTGATAGTTTTTATTTGCAAAATGAATTACTATTATTTTTTTTTTTCAATTGGTTAAAGTACCTTAGTGGTTCTTATTAAATTAATAAGCTTTAGAAAAGCTTACAATTTTATTACAATTATTAGCAGCTATACAGTCATATTTTTATCTTATTTTCTACGCTTGGTAACTAAGAAAAATACATTTTCTTCTGATAAAGGAAATAAAAATGTTTCTAATGCTGGTTTCACATTTAACTATGTGTGGTTAAATTTTATCAAGTTTGAATGTTGCAACCAATTTATCTTGGTGATTTACAATGGTTGTGTTTTTACTTTTAGATTACTTCAACACAGACTCGGAAAATAAATTGGAAACTTTCTCTTTTAATCTTGATAATACTCAGGTAATAATTTATTAATACATATAGATGTTAGGTTAGATTGTGTACTAAAAGTAGATAGTAGCTTACTTAATAAATACAAGGGTGATGTATACACTACCCATGCAAATATATATTTTTTTTTTTTTTGGGGGGGGGGGGGGATACCTATATTTGTAAGACAATGTTTAAACCATCTTTTACATATTATAATAATAATAATATAAGATGTGACCAATGGCTTCCATTTTAATAAACTGAAAATATTATTTTATAGACCCTACCGTAAAGGAGTGGTAAAATGAGCTATAAACACCCTCCAGTTCTGATGAAGTTCATTGATATATCATTTATTGTGAATTTTTCAGTAGTTTCTGAGTTTTAATTCTAGGTAAATTAACATCATACATCTTATATTCATTTTTATACCGAAATGTTTAACCAAAAAAATGTAAATGCAATACTTTTATTAATTATGATAGTTATATAATATGTAGCCAATAGCAGCCCTATTAGTAGACAAAAAAAAATATTCTATTTCTATTTTCCAAATTTAAATTCTTACTTGAGCTACCTATAAGGATTGAAAAGTATACTGTTAACACCCTCCAAGTCCCTACAAATCTATTGATATAACTTTTGATTGGTCAAGCCATTCAAAAGTTACACTACAGCAACAGAATACACTCAAGACTAATATATAATGTATGTATAAGATTAATAAATCAACAACTTGATTAACCACAAATAATATTTTAGCCTATGGTAATGTGTCTTCAGAATTTTTGTTTTAACAATTCTACTCTCAATTCTTTAAAGAATTAAAAATACATTTTTTTAGTAAATAAAATGTATTTTCTCAATTCTTTAAAGAATTAAAAATACATTTTTTTAGTAAATAAAATGTATTTTATTATCAATCAATTGTATTCAAAATATGCCTATTAAGTTCTATAAAATGAATACTAAATTCCTCTTTGTAATAAGTGCTTTCATTTTCTTTAAGTACAATATTCATAATTATGAAATAATAATCATTTCAGATAATCCTTTTACAATGTTTTACAATTTAATTTATTATATTATACTGAATGTACACTTGCCGAACAAGTAGGATACATTAAAAGTAATTTCAAAATGTTGCACATTTTAGTATTTGTCACCCAAATGTTTCTAACTTAACTGTTAGTATGTTGTTTGTTTGCCTATTATCCTATTGTCGGCATACATAATTTAAAGTTGGTACCTATCATATGAATGTTATTACTAATAACTAGAGCTCAGATATAAATGCCCTTTCAAAAAATACATTTATGACCTAAAATTTAAAAAATGTCATAAAAAAATTCGGCAGAACTGACGCCGGATTTCTTCAGAAATTTTATTTAAAAATCTGATTGCTTATGTTATTTTAGTACAATGAATGTATTTATACATTATTATTTTATTTTATTTGACATACTACTAGAAGTAAGTTAAAAGTGACCTATACAAATTGTAAGTGCCCTAAAAATGTTTAAAAGTGTATATAAACACCAAGAACCTTCTGGAAATTCAACAAACATTTGTTGTTAGCATACTATTTATTTGAAACACATTTAGATCTTGGAATTCATCCTGTCAAGCATTCCATAATAAAAGATACAAATTCATTGAAATCTGAGCCTTACTTAAAAGTTAAATCTAAAGATTTGGATGCTCGTGCATTTTCATATCTTTTTCCTTGATTAATAAAAGCTGCAGAGTGGAATAGAAATTTTTTATGACCTATAGAAGATGAAATCAAAAATTTTATACTGCATATACTTGCATATTCCGATCCATTTTTCTTTCAAAGCATATTCATATTTTATTAGTGCATAATAATGCATACTTGGTGTTTTTAGATTTAACTTGACATTTAACATAGAATTATTGCCTATTTCAATTACTAATATAGAAATTTTATCTTTACTGATAAATATTATTGGAAGTTCATAATAGCTAATAAGTACTTTTGGGTACTTTAAGTTTTTTGGAGCATGAACATTAAATACTATAATTTATTATAAAATATTGTTAAAAATTAATTTTAATAAGCCATGTCCCACAATATTTTACCTCGAGTTACAGATGTACAATTTTATCACATAATAATATGTGTGTGGTAATTTTGACTAGGTTTGATAATCAAATTCAATGTTTACAAAGTTTGACTTTATTATTATTGTTACTTTTTTCATTTAAATAGTAGGTTCTCTCAACTTATCAATTTAATGAATAATAATAAGTTGTGTTATAAGATGATTACTTAAAACAGCTTTATGCAGTTGATTGTTATCACTCAGATTTATTAAATTTAATTTATGAATCAAATACTAATTTATAGTTTTAAAACATCAATAAAATATACTTATGATACTTCAAGAATCAAAAGAATTGTGAGCTTTGTATGTTTTCTGTGATTTCATATAATATCCTTTTTTTTATTCCCCACATTTACGTATTTTCACATAAATAAAATTGTGCCGAGTGCAATAAATATTATATATTGTAATTCTATGTATAGCCATACATGGTGATTTTTTTTAAAGACCTGAGATCTATAGTTTGTTGAAAGTATGATGTGCGAATGTATTCAACACTTGCTTTATTACATTTTTTTTTATACATGACTCAAATAATTTCGATACCTAGGCAATCATTATTCATTAAATACCTGCGTTTTGTTATAATTTAATTTAAAGCAGATATTTTATAATTCGTTATTTGTACATATGACATAATTTGTTGAAAAAGGTCCATAATATTTTTAAAAAGTATAACACTTGAATAAATTAATGTTATGTAAAGAGAAATGTATCGTTTTGAAACAATTACAAAAACAAATTGCAGAAAGAATGGTTTTTGTACATAATACATAATGTTGTGCGTTGTACTTTTAACTAAGTAGAATTCTCAGGTCTACAAAAAAAATATCCCTTGTATAATAATTGATTATAGTTCCTATTACATTCTTGAATGTATGTCAGTCTTGGTTAAGAAAAATAACTTTAACCATTATAAATAATCTGATCGTAATATTTCCATACATAATAATATGTACCGTTCAATTATAGTTATAATTAAAGACCAGACTTTGCATAAAATGCATGTTGCTATTTTCAACATCATATACATTCAGTCAATGAGTGTCTACAAATCATTGCTTGATTGATTAAATATCAAAATTGTATAGTGCGTATTTTTACATGTTTTGCATATTTTTTCATATTTTAACAAAAAAACTACAAATATACACCTAACAATCTAAAATGATGTTGAGCAAAAATATCAACAGATTATTGGTGCGTTTATATAATATTAATATCAAATATTTTACATCTCAAAGAATATTCGGATGCGAAAAATAGCCAATAGGTTAGGTTATTGTTTTTCCAATTAACATACTACATACAATTTTTAGTACTTTTTTCCTATTTATATCAGTATATCACTATTGTATCTACTATTTAATTTTAATAAAATATTTTTTACAATGTATGATAAAAAATTAAAGTACAACTTAATAAATTACATTATTGTATTACATATTTGTTATATTATACATCTTATTTTTTGTTTATGAACATTTTAATAAAACTAATAAATAATTATCACTGCAAAATTATAATCAAGAACAAAATATAATAAAAATTGAAATTTTATTTTGCTTGTATTGTATCTTTTTCTTGCACATTTTGACTTTTTTAGTGCATATTTTAAAATTTTAAATGCATATAAATCTGGTCTTTAGTTAAATTGTATTCAAATATTCATAACATTTCTTTTTATGAATGATTAATGCTTCATTTGTTTTTTTTTTTGTTTTATTATTTTTATTATTAGTTGGTCAATATGTAATAACACATAATCAACAAACATTTTGCATAAAGTAATCTTATATTACAATTGTATTGTTCTTTAAAAAATGATAAAGTTCAATATACATTTTTATTCACTTAAAATAGTTTTTATTTATTCATAAATATCATAAACGCCCATAAACTAAATCATTTCATATTTATAGGAAAAATCAATTTTCGAACAACATTCTTCTGAAGTTTTTTCAACTGGTAAAGTAGTTCTTAATTATTAATCTTGTTCTTAAACTACTAAATTTAAACTGATACTTTTAGGTGCTTCCACTAGTAGCATTTCATATGCAGATAATGAATTAGAAAACTTCTCTTTCACGTTGAAAGCTGATAATATCAAAGTAAGTTATAATTATGTACATTGAGTGATTTAAAATAAATAACATAATATCTAAGGGAGTACATAATAAGGTTTACAACTTAATCAATATTAATCATACATTCACTTTGTTAAATTTTATATTTTATGTATCCTAGTCAAATTATATGGACATGATTCTTTAGTTTTTGTGTTATTGTATATGGTTTCTAAACATGGTATATAGCGTGATTTTTTAAGCATGGTCGCCCCCATTTTTCTTTTTAATAATACATGTTTTATTCAAATTCTGATTATTAGATATTTTAAGTAGACCTTAGTACCATATTTTCAAATTACTGATATTTTTTGTACTACTTATGGAAGGAGTATCCTGAGGCTATACAAACTACTATTTTTCAAATGAGAACAACCTTTTTTACTAAACATTTTTTAGTGAATGATTTTTTAGAAAAATTTTATGTAGGTATCTAAATAAAAATTTCAATAAATGGTTTCTGAGTTTTTAAAATGTTTATAATAGGGATAATAATCCTTAAAAATAGTTTTATTTAAATAAAAACTATATGTAATGTTTGATTTAGTATTTTTACTTGTCTCATTTTAACAAATTATATTGGTATATATTATATATTTTTTTATTTACAGGAAACTCCAATTTTTGATCAACATTCTTCTGAAGCTTTTACAACTGGTAAAGTTATTCTTAATTATTATACTTGCTATTTAACTACTAAGTGTGAACTGATACTTTTAGGTGCGTCCACTAGTCATATTTCACATGCAGGTAATGAATTGGCAAACTTCTCTTACACATTAAAAGCTGACAATGTCAAAGTAAGTTATAATTATGTACATTTAGTAATTTAAAATAAATAATATAACATTTTAAAGGAGTATATAACAAGGATCACTTAAACATTCATTCCCCTTGTGTAATTTTATATCTTATGAAATCTACAGTCAATGTATAATAGATACACAATTATTTTATTTTAATGTACATTCTATACAATTTTTAATAACTATTCGCTAAAAGCATATTATTTAAAACTAATTTCCAATTAGAAGGCACAACACAAGCATAATTTTTCTTTTCTTTGTCTGTCTTGCATATGTGAAGAGTCCTTATTTATAAAACAACTCATAAGTATATTCTTCCTGCAAATTGAACATATAGTCTTAATATTTTTATTATTTTAGAAGTCAATTCATTTGTGCATTATTTGTTAGCAAACCTGACTACTTAATTGTTAAATTATAGCTGCAATGTATTCAAATATTCAGAACAATTCATTTTTCATAAATGATAGGAAGTGTGAATTGTATTTCTATGAGTTTTATTATTTTGAAATATTACTTGAATTAAAAAAAAAACCTGTGGTTGAGGAAAACTTATTTTATTTTTAAAAGTGTGAAAAGGTCCATTTGCATTTTTATTAACTTAAAATAATAACATCATTTTTTATTTACAGGAAAAACCAATTTTTGGGCAACATTCTTCTGAAGCTATTTCAACTGGTAAAATAATTTTTACTTATTTATCTTGCTCTTGGACTACTAAATTGAAACTGATGCTTTTAGGTGCTGATACTAATGACATTTCATACTCAGATAATGAATTGGAAAACTTCTCTTTCTCTTTAAAAACTGATAATATTAAAGTAAGTTATAAGTATGTGTATGTACATTTAATGACTTAAAATAAATAAAGCAGAATTTTAAAGAAGTACATGATATAGTTAACAACTTAATCACACATTCTCCATATTTAGTTTTATATTTAAGGAAATCTCAACTCAATGTATATTATTATTTTGTTTTGATACTAGTTTTTTTTTAATGTCTTAAACATTGTATACAATTTTGAATTTGACATTTCAATTTTTTGAGAAGTTATTTATGTTTAAAAATGCAAGATTTAAATAGTATGATACCTGATATTTTCTCCTCTTCGCTAAAATACATAAAATCTTTAATATTTGTATGAAACCATAATTTTAATCTATGAAGTTGGTATTGAAATGTAATTATATTATTCATAAAAATCGGTTAGTTAATGTATTTCAGGCTGTACAAATTGATCAATGCACTGTTAATCAAAATAATTCTGCTATTTATTAATTTATAATACTATAGAAATTTCAAAAAAGTTTATATTTATATGTATTCTTGTTTGATTGCCAATCAATCAATTAATTAAATTTTTTTTCAACAAATACCTAAATTGTTAATTTGTATACACAATGTGTCACTTATGAACAGTAATTCATAATATTAAGTAAATATAAGAATATTATAACTGTTATGTACATTATATCCAATGGTGTATTCAAAATGTTGGTGCTTCGATGACTTGCTCTTTATCCTTTAAAAATAATTCAGTGTACACTCAATTAACTATAAATTACATTCAAAACATTCCTAAAAATACAGTTATTTCATATTTATTTTTAAATTCTGAGCAAATTACAGAATTTTAGAATTATGTAGATTATATCTAAAAACAGACAATTTTTTACTTGAGAATTTAAATTTTTTTTAGTTGCTTTCAAATAATTGTTAATTAAATGACATTGCATAAAGGAAAATTTTTATCTTAAATCATAAAATCATCATCAATCTTAATTTGCCTCAGTGGCCCTCCTAACATTGTACATTTATTGTTGTATAATCTGACCATGAGTAAGAAGAAAAAATCTTTTTAAAAAAAAATGTCACAAACAAAAACATTTTTTTTTCCTTTAACATAATGTTATTAGCTAATTTTAGCCAACAGCTAATTTCGTATAATTTTAACCTCAAAACTAAAATCTAAATCTTAAATCTTATTTAATCAACAAAACATCTATACACAACTGTACTCGGAATACATATTAAGTTGCTATATCACGCTTGAGACAGACAAAAAAAACAAACGTTAGTTTTGTGGGGGTACTAAATAATAAAATTTTTTAGATTAGAAATTAAATGCAATTTTTTAAAGATAATTTATCTAGTATTAATATTAAAAGGTGGAAACTATTAAAAATGTAAATATCTTAGTTCTAACAATAACACCTCTATAACCTTATCTGTTCAGAATCAATAATTATTATGATGTTATTTTATGTTAATTATCATTTTTCATTAAATAATTATTGTTATGTTGTCTTTCTGTTATTTTATTTACTCACAACTAAACATATAATTTTAGAAGAATGCATTTAGAAAACCAAACCCATGGTACCGCAAAGATTCTACGCAAAGAAACAATGTTTTTCACCAAACATTTAAGAATCAATATCATGGAAATGGTTCATTAGTATCGTCTCTTAATAACAACAATAACTATAAGGTTGGTTTTAAAGTTTATTACAGTTTTTCATTAAATAATTATTGATATGTTGGCTTTCTGTTATTTTATTTACTTACATTTAACATACAATTTTAGAATGCATTCAGAAAGCCAAACTCATGGTACCGCAAAGATTCAACTCAAAGAAACAAAGATTTTCCACAAACATTTAAAAATCAGTATCAGGGAAAAAGTACATTACTATCTGCTCCTAATAATAATAGTTCAAAATATTTCCCACCAAGAAATAATAATTTACAAACTAATAGAGGTAATTCTAACAACTTCAAGAAAATGCCAAATGAAATACAAGGTATGTTTATCATTGTGTATTATTTATATTTTTATTTTAATTTATGTATTAGATAACTAGAACTTATGTACTTTTGTTAATATTAAAATTTTTTTTTGTCATATAATACTATGATTTAAATTAATTCTTGGTTTTAAAAATCAATTTCAGGAAATAACAATTTCGTACATAGTTCATCGTTCCCAAGGAATAACAATGAACAGATCAATTTTAAATTTGGAAAAAATAATTCTCAATTTATACCAAAATATATTGAAAACCCAAATTTAAATACTTCAAGACAATCGCATCTTCCACCTGTACCAATAATTAAACCTCATAGTATAGTCGGTGAAGTAAGTAAAATTATTTACAAATTAAACAAATAATCATTTAATTTTCCTATTTATTAAGTTTTATTAATTAATATATTAAATGAGCAGTTATTTGTAATGACAAATTTGGTATAGAAAATTATATTTATACATACAATTTAGATAATTATCTTTACATTAAAATAAATTAACAACTACCTTATGGCTCTAATTATTGACTAATAATTTTTATTTTAATATTATAAAATATAAGAATTATTAAAAGATTTAAATATGTTAATGGAAAGTTAGAAAAATTACCCTATATATTAAAAACTTAAGATGTGAGACAAAATTATTTCATAAAATCAAAATATGATGAGATCTAGTTAAACTATATTTTATTGATTTATGGACGTAATTGTTTCTCATTATCATGTATAACACTGCAATTTTTACAATGAACTTTAAGCTTTTGGTCGTCATTTTCCAAGTAATTATTTTGCAGGCAAAATTCTAGTCAGCTGTTTCTTACAGAATTGTCCATTGCATCCCATTGCCTTATTACATATACCTTTTTAGGATTTCATAAGCAGTTTTATTCTCTCATACTACATTAATAGTTGATAGCAGTCCTAGTAACTATTTGAATAGTTCTAAAAGTTAAAATATACTGATAAAAAATTATTTTTAATGTCTCATAAAAATGTGTATATTTTTTTTCATGTATTTCAATACAATTTTCTCATCCATGAACATAATAATTTATTTGATTTTAGTATTTGTGTCCTGTGTCTTTGGTTGGAACAACTATAAAATTTTTATCAAGAAAACTGGCAAATACAAGCATGCGAGAACAAATTATCATAGAATTAGCCTCACATGGTATCTTGGAGGCAAGTAATTTAAATTCATATAATATTTTAGTTCTTTTCAAAATGTATCGATTGTATAATTATTATGTTTTGGCTAAATCCAATTAAAAAATATCAAAAATATAAAATAATTTAATTAATATTGAAGAGGAAGCGCGCAATATTTGTTTTTTTCTCAGATCAACACGCAACTTAGATAAAACGCTTTCACTTAGTCGTTTTCATTTTTTTTATTTTTAAGTTACCCTCAAGTAAAATCACCCATTACACAATGATAGAGAATAATATTTTTGAAGGTATGACATATTGGTTTTATATTTTATTATTATTTTACTTTCAAGATAAAATTGTTTGTTGATTAATGATATTTATATTTTTCTGACTCAATTCTTAGTCTAACTTATATGACATACCCTCAAAAATGTTATTCTCTATCATTTTTTTATAGGTTTTTTTAATCTAACTTAATTAAAAATTTTTTTTAAAAACAATTCTGTTTGAATGCGGTTTTTTGTATTGTACATGGGCCAGAGAAAAAAACAAATAGTACATTCTCTTAATAATACCTAATTAAATATATCAACTCCATAAAATGATAATGAAAATGATATATATTTATCATAAAATTGCTATGTATGTTTAAGACTTGTTTTAGTTGTTGGAGGTATAAACAAAGGAACCTCAATTATCCGGGGTAATATTGGGGAGGTGGTTAGATATGAATAAATGAAATCCACGGTTAATCAAAACTATGTATGTACATACCTGCAATACACATAGTCATATTGTGATTGTTTAAAATTTCATCTATATGTTTGTTGATGGTGCACAGTAATGCTTGCTTAAGGGGCCCCGGCAGAAGGCGCTGTTTTCCGTCAGTCCCTAAACATTCCCTATACTAGTGCATGTAAAAACCATCATTTTTCAGTATCTAATTGAATGCGATGCTCTTTTGTTCAACGGATTACGATTGATTTCAGTAATTGTGAGATAATAAAAATATTATTGCTCTTTTCTGGGTTTAATCAATGATTAGAATATACAGAAGAGTATTCTTGATATTTCATTCTTCATATTTCAATTTTTGTTTTTCCTTCCAAACAATATTTGTGATAGACAATCATCAGTTTCTTTCTCCGTAGCATCTTTTTATGTATAACTTTGTCTTACACAATGTTTGCATTCAGGAATTCTTTAATATTATCTTTACTCAAATTGTAATCAGTATAACAATTTTACAAAGTTTAAGTACTAATAATTATTAAATAAAATAATAATGTAAACCAATGTACCTTATATTATTTGTACCTCAAACAATAGAAAAATTATCAATATTATGACCGTCAGGTGTCTTCGGCGACATTATCTGCCTGAACTTCTAATAAGTTCAATAATGTTACTCATGTGATTGACTGTTAGCTACACTATCAGCCTCAAACTCCAATAAGTGTGAAAATTTAACATGATATTACAAATAAATATTTAGTTAAATTACAAAAGTATAAACCAATAAGACTTTTCAGCCACACCATCAGTTTCAAATAATGGCAAGTGTTATAATTGTACACATAAATACAATAATATATTAAATATAATAATATAAAACAGTTAATCATTGCCATTATCATCTGAACCATTGTATTTATTCAAGTTATTGAATTTTGTTGTCAGAAAGAGAGATAGTAATGTAATAACAATTTATAATACGTTGGTTCTCTTATTTATTTTACAATAGGTAGTATTGTAATAGTCACCTTTGTTATACCTATGATAATATCATAATTAGTTGCCAGATTTAAATGCCTTTAAAACAATACAAATATGCTCCAAAAAATAGCCAAAAATGTCCTATAATTTTTTTTTTTATACATTCGTTATTTCTAAATAAAGGTTTTATTTCTAATAATTATTATTTCATTTAAAAAAAATTTGAAACATTAAAAAGTGACTTAATACATTATGATATTTGACATACATACCTCTAAGTGTTATTCATTCTAAACACACCAAAATAAAAATGAATGTTAAATTCGAAGTAACTCTATTTCACCTATTCAATTTGAGCATTACATTGAATAATAATAGTTGTTTAATATGTTTAAACACCAAAGATCTTTTTTTATCCAAAAGAATATTTTTGGACTTCGAAAAGCTCTTTTCGATGTTCATAGATGTAATAGGAGCGAATTTCATGTGATAAATATCATTTGTAGTTCTAGTACAAAACTTATGCTTCAAAAATTCAATAAAAGAAAAAAAATTGGAAATAACTACTTTTGAAGTATTGCTGAGTAGCGGTAATTTATAAATAAGAATGATTAAATGTTTTTTAATGTAATTAACATACTAAATAATGATTCCTTGTTTCAATAAAATTACTTATTTAATTTGTTGTGATATTTTTATTATTTCTAAAATATCCAATATTTATTATAACACTCACCATTAAATACTTATCTCTTAATAAATATAACAGTTGTCTGGAGAAATTTTAATCCACATTAATTTAAAAACTATTTTGTTAGTTCTTTTTAATTATTTCAATAAATAGATTGTACTGTTATTTTTTTCAGAACAATTGGTGGACACCAGATGATATGTTTTACGCAACATATACAGAAAGGAGTATTGCTCAACATGTATTTAAAATATATCCTCATAACTCAAAAAGTTCATATTAATACAAAGAGTTCTATTTAATTTATACATGTGTTATTTTTTAGTCCATTCATGCTTTACATAACTAGTAGAACTTTTATAGTAAATATTACATATATTCATAACACAAATAGAATAAGGATAATGTATCTTACATTCAATGTTACAATCCTTAACCCGAATTATAAATATTGCATATTTATTTTAAAAATATGGTACATAGATCATAATTAGCATAGTTAATAGTAGTATATTTAAAGCAATAATATAACAATTTCTACTACACCAAGTACTGTATGTTGTATGTCACTGTAACATTGAATTTTATGAGACAGTGGTTTTAAGATTTTAAATTAATAATAATATAATATTAATAATTTTAGTTGTAGATTTTTATTTTTGGTAGTTACAACTGATTAACCAGTCAAATATTCTTTGAATTACATAAATTAATTACTTTTCGGTCTTAATATTTTTTTAAACAATTATAATATATCTTTTAATTGTAAATGGGACTTGTTATAATAATAATAATAATAATAACAATAACAACAACATTATACAAATTAATGTATACAAAAATCTTATTATGTTTTTGATTCTCTCTTTAAAGGCTGGGCTTGTGCTAAAGAGAGAGAGAGTTCAGTACATTAAAATAAAGAACTGATAAATAAATTAAGATACAAATACAGTAATAACAGTAGGAAAGCAATAACGAGAAAACATAAAATAAAGTAAAAAATAAATAAATAAAACCAGTAAATTAAACAATTTATATAAGAAGATTAAACAATTTGTTGCTGTGAACCCAATATTTTGATGAAGACAATATTATATTAAAAAGTTATTAAATGAAAAAGAATTTACACGCATTTTAAACTGTTTAAAGGAATTAAACTTTTTTACATCTAATTCCATTTTTTACATAATTTAATACCAATATTAATGTGGGGCTATGTTAACCAAATGTAGTACACAAAACAGATCTAATATTATAATTAATTTTAGTCTTAGTATTATAATAAGGATTAATTTTTATAAATTCAAAATTTTGGTAGTACATATTATACAAAATATTTTTAATATAAATAGAATTCAGATTATTCATAGTTAAATCAGAATAAAGTAATCTAACCGGGTGTAGCCTAGGTTTCCCAAATATTATCCTTAAGAGGACGCTATACCCGAATGTGTTGTCTCCGTCTTACAAGAATGTAACACATCAAATTTTACATTCAGCAAACCATGTTTAGCTAAGTTAGCTTAAAAATTAGAATGAATTGACCGCTTATTAAAATTAAAGATAAGATTTATTGCGGAGGGTTAAATTGTACAAACAATTTACAGTTTTAAAATACACATAACTCTTTAAGGGTGTCGGTGCCGGTCATTTATTAAGGAGTAAAATTTAGGCAATTCTATTCACATGTTGTGTCGGCCTCGCGCGGAACGTGCATGTGTGTGAGTATGTAAATCGATATTAGTGTGAGTGAGCTATATTTAGCGTGAGATATTGGTGGTGCATTGGCCGTGCATTTGTGTGAGTGTATAAAAATATTATAAATCTATATTAGTTCGCACGTTATCGTTCCATGGAAATTCTATTAAGTTATTATTATTCATTTCTTATATCAATTATGAACTATAATGATCGTCAACCGGCATTCACAATTGATATCAAATTTTGTGTACTTAATTACGATTTGTATGTAAGTAGTTATTTTATTTTTTCACAAACAATTGAAGATATGGAAGGCAAGAAAAAGTATGCTAATAAAAAAAAAAATGTATCATCTTATAGAAAGATTAAAGGACGAAAAAAAAGACGGTAAGTAAATTATTTTGGTTATAATAAAGAGAACACAGAAACTGTACAGTGAATATTATTGTAAACAAATTAATTAATTAATTTTCACTTGAAATGTGATAATGTTCATGAAATTCTAATTATTTGTTTTATTAATATTTAGTGTTTTGGAAAAAGTTAACAATGTTTCATATGATGAAACACAAAATAAACCATGTTGTTCTAAAACATTAGCTGATGTACAATCAACAAGTACTATTTTTAGAGAAGAAAATAATATGTCTAATGGTTTTAATCAGTTGTACGTTTTTTTTTTTTTTTTAATCTATAAAATCATTATTTATTAAATCAAAATTTGTATTTCATTTGTGTATTATTGCGTTTAGCTATGATCAGTCATTTGGTATAGCAACTTCATCGAACAGTGATATTCCTAATGTTCCTGAACAGACGTGAGTTATTGTTTCGAGTAAAATTACCGTTGTACCTAATTTAAGGTTTCGTTTTTTTTTTAAATTTTAAAATCTTAAAAGTTATGAGGGAGACATTAAACTACAGGGCTATTTGTTGTCTCCGTCTTACAAGTGCGTAACACAGCAAAATAGCAAATTTACGGTCAGCAGATCACGTATAGCTTCATTAGCTTAAAAATTATAATGAATCGACCCATTATGAAACTTGATGCTAAGAACATTATCTATGTTTGTATAAAGGTTTTTTACGATAATTCAATGTTTCGCACTTGTAAGATGCAGAAAAAAAATATCCGTGTAGCGTCCTCATAACTTTTAAGATTTTAAAATTAAAAAAAAAAACTTTTTATCTGAAAAAAAAAAATAAAATCGTCTTATTGTAAATTTTAAATTTAAATTTTAGATTTAATATTGAAGGTCGTCGTATAGTTGATATTGATTATTTGTTTAAAAAAATTGGTCAAATCAATCATCAACCATATGGTTGTAATTTTAGTAATTTACTTTTGGTCGGAGAGCGAAAAACTGGATTTTTAAGTGAATTCTTGTTTACTTGTGAAATGTGTCACAAAAATGAGGTAATTGAATCTGAAAATCCAAGTTCGTCGTTAATGGACGTCAACACAGCAACAGTTACAGCAGTTGTGAATTCGGGACAAGGTTTTGGTCAGTTGGAAACTTTTTCTGCTATTATGAATATGCCAAATATGTGCAATAAGTTGTATCAGCAACTACACGAGAATGTTCATAAGTTTACTAGTAAAACAGCTTGGGAGGCAATGTCACTAGCAGCAGAAGAAGAGGCTAAACTTGCAGTGGAAAATGGTGATGTTAAAGAAGACGGAGTTCCTATGATTACTGTCATTGCAGATGGTGCGTGGTCAAAAAGAAGCTACAAGTCAAATTATAATGCTTTGTCTGGAGTTGTAAGTAACAATGATTAAGCTCATCAATGTATCTATAATAAGACCTTATAAATAAAAAATATTTCCAATAGGGATGTATTATTGGTGAAAAAACCAAAAAAGTTCTTTTTTTGGGAATCAGAAATAAGTATTGTTCAGTTTGTGTGAAAGCAGAGGCAACCTCCAGTGAACCCCCAACACATAAGTGTTACAAAAATTGGAAAGGAACATCAACGGCTATGGAGTCAGATATTATACTTGAGGGATTCAGACAAAGCATAAATATGCATAATTTAATTTACAATAAACTTATTGGGGATGGCGATAGTTCGGTCACAAAAAAATTAAGTATTGATCAACCGTACGGACCCAATTGTTTAATAAAAAAGATCGAGTGCAAAAACCACATTTTGAGAAATTATCTCAGAAAAATTAGTGACATGGCAGCCAAGCGAAAAAGTTCCAGTGGTAAGGTGGTACCAGGGTTTTTGAGAAACCTTTTAAAAGACAAGAAGCTTCGAATTAGGTAAGTTTTTAGCAAATTAATAAATATTTTCGTCATAAAAATTTTGTTTTTTTTTTTTTTAGGTATGGAATAACAAAAGCAATTGCACATTGGAAAAAAAATGGAAATTTAACCCACAATCAAAAGGCAAAATTTTTGAAAAAAGACATCGACAATGGGCCATATCATGTTTTTGGGTGTCACAACAATTGCGATCCGTATAAAAAAATATTGATTACTTTTAGTTTTACATATTTTATAAATAATCAAAATTATAATTGTTTAGATATTTTTGTAAACCTGGACCAAATAACATAAATCATGTGCCCGAGATGGAGAAGTGTGGTTTGTGGCAAGATATTTCTGCAGCTAAAAATTTAGTATCCTTCCATTCAGATAACCTGATTTATGATCTGACCAATAATTATGTTGAATCATACAATAGTGTTGTAGCTAAGTTTGTGGGTGGAAAAAGGATCAATTATTCATTGAGAGGTAATTCGATTTATTATATATTTGTATGTTTTTAATTATTTACAATATATATATATATATATATTAAATATTTACTCTCAATATACCAACCAATTTTGTAGGGTCGTACAATACTAGGTGCATGACAGCAGTATCGTCATTTAACTTTGGCCCTGAATATATACGAAGATTACATAAAACTGCTACAAAAGAAAGCCCTGGGAAATTCACTAAGCGTTTTATTTCCAAGTTGCAAAGGGCAAGAGAAATAAGGTCGAATACAAAGAAGAAGATAAACTTTAAACCATCAATCAAATTGTATGTTTCTAAATATTATGCTCAAATTATTTTTTATTTATACTGTAAAACCAATTTTTGTTTTGTTCTAGACCTCGGGGTAAAACTTTTAGTGGCGCTGATAAGGATTATGGGGATCTAGATGAATTAGGTTGTGCTGAACTTGATATTTCACAGGAAGAACTGGAGACCAAACGTTCAACTGTTTTAAATAGTCTAAAACTTAGTTCCCAAGAAATATTTCAGCTAGAAAGGAACACAATAGACCAGGTTTGAAATATTAATCATAATATTATATAATAATTATAACTGTGTCAATGTAATCCTCAGGGTAAATCTGATACTTGGCATACTGAACGAAAATATCGGCTGACTGCTTCTAACTTCGGTAAAGTATGTAAGCTTAGAAAAAGTACTCCTCGGACTAATACTGTCAAGTATATATTGTATGCAGAAGATTTTACATCGAGGACTCCAGCAATGACGTAAGATTTTAACGCAGTGTATCCACTGTGCAATATTACGATGCATTAATATAATTATGTAAATATATAATTGGATTTTAGTATTGTATATACCTAACTATATGCTTGTCTGAGATTAATAGACTCAAAAATATCCCCACCATTACCCCCCAAACCCGTGTTTTAGGAACTTTTAGTGCAAAAATAAAATTATTTATTGATTTAAAAAAAAAAAAAAACGGTATTATTTATTTCTTGTATTTTTATTGGTACTGGCAATACTAGGTCAGCTAATATTTTAAAGAATATGATTAATCAGTATTACATTTTGTTTTGTTTGCCAATAGATACGGAATACAATACGAACCAATGGCTAAGGAAGCATTTGAATCTTTATTCAATGTTCAAGTTTTACCAGCCGGTTTATTTGTAGACGAGCAATACAATTTTTTAGCTGGTTCTCCTGATGGTTTGGTGGGAGAAAATGAAATTATTGAAATAAAATGCCCACATAACAGTAAAGATATGACACCTCTACAAGGAGTTGTGGCTAAAAAAATTAAATTTTTAAATATTTGTAATAATGGTGATCTGCAGTTGAACAAAAACCATAATTATTACTACCAGATTCAGGGTCAATTAAGAGTAGCCAATAAATTATCCTGTTATTTTATAGTTTGGACTCCTAAAGGTAATGAAATAATGAACAACAATATTATATTATAAGTTATAACCAAATAAACTTCATATTTTGTAAACACGAACATTAAGATCTAAATACATTTGTGTATACAGATAGTACAATACATACAAATATATTTTAATTCAATATGTATGGTTTTTGTTTTTAGATATGTTTGTAGAAATAATAAAGCGTGAAGATGACTTCTGGATGAATAAAATGGAAAAGCAATTAATAGAATTTTATAATTGTCATCTATTGCAAGAAATTGTAGATCCTAAAATTTTAAGATAAATGAAAATTTTGTGAATAATTATTGTTTTATTATTGTTATTGTAATTAGACTTGTAGTATTGTCATGTCGTATTCGTTTATATTTCATGTTTTATTCACGTATTATTGACATAGGTACATGTATATTTTATACGGCAATATTATAAGTTATAACTGAGTAATGACAGCTATTATAATAAAATATGTGTAACTGATAAACGATAGCTGGTACCTACAACGCCGTGTCGTCAAAAACAAGTTATTTATAAATAATTTTAATAATATAATTAAATACTCTTATTTATTTCTACACGCAATATACCGGTTGTGTACGCCGCTGCCGAACGGTAGCGCAACGCACGCGCTGATAAAGATAAGTACGTACGCGCATGCACAAGTCAGTGCTAGATTTCGATGGCTATTGTCGAAGCACTATTTTGATGAATAAAAATGGTTTCACAGGAAAAACTCTCATGCCTTGTAGAAGTGTCGGATTTAGTTAATTTTTTTTTTATCTGAAAGATGAGAAGTTTCTACAGGTCGGATCAAAGCTTGATTTTTTATTTTACTTTGAATAGTAGTAGAAAAATACGTTTGAAAAAGGACAAATATTATGCATTTTTCAAATGCATATTCCTGTTTCTATAATTATAGTTTTTAAAATCGGACTTTGATCCGACCTACAAAATGTTCTCTACTTTAAGATAAAAAAAAAATTAACGAAATCCGACAATTCTACAGGTCGTGAGAGTTTTTCCTGTAAGACATGTTTTTATACTAAAAAACGCACCGGCACCGAAACCCTTAAAATTAAAATATAATAAAAAACCCATGAGAAGCCCTCCGTAATAAATCTTACCTTTAATTTTAATAAGCCGTCAATTCACTCTAACTTTTAAGCTAACTGAGCTAAACATGGTTTGCTGAATGTAAAATTTGATATGTTACGCTCTTGTAAGACGGAGATAACACACGCGAGTATGTCCTCTTAACAAGTTATTAATTGTAATATTAAGAGAATAAAGATGTGATTTATAAGCACACCCCCAAACACAAATTCCATAAGAAATTACAAATTGGGCAAGAGCGCTATAAATTCTAATATTTTTTAAGTTTAAAATCTTTTTTAATATTTTGAATTTATAAGATAATTTTCTCATTAAATTCGAGGCATAGTGTATAAGATCATTCCACTTAAGGTTATGCTTAAAAATGATGCCTAAGTATTTTAATTTGGAGACCTTTTCTAAAGTATAGCAATTAAAAATTTCTAAATTATTTATACATTTAGAATTATGAACGTTGATATTTCTCAATTGAATTATGGATTTTTTTATACTAAAACACATATATTTAAATTTTTTAATATTAAGTTCAAGAAAATTATTATCTAACCAAGGTTTGATATCATTAATACATTGATTCTCTAAGCTATAACCCATCAATATTTTTATGTTCAATTAAAACGAAACTATTATCAGCAAAGCATATAATATTTCCCGAAATGTTAAGGTTAACTATTCTGTTAATATATATTAGAAATAACATGGGTCCCAAGACTGTTCCTTAAGTGACTACTTGTGCTCTATTTGTAAGGAAATGTATAAATAAATCAAGACACCACTTATACCACAATATTCTAATTTTTTTCATCAAAATACTATGGTCAACAGAGTCAAAAGCTTTTTTTAAGACAAGAAACAAACTAATTGCCTTATTACCTTTGAAGACTAGAGTGAATATAATTAGAAGCTAATGACATCGCATCATTAGTTGACGATAGTTCCAAAGATTTGTCAGGTCTCCTTTTAAGCACTCGGGAAATACCCATTGCACATGCAATTGTTAAAGACACTCGCAACTTCAACCGCCCCTTTCAAGGTTTCTACTACTGCCTTCACTACCGTATCGGGTATACCATCTGGACCAGGCGCTTTTCCAGAAGGTTAGGCGTTGGTCAGCTCCACCATAAAGAATTTGAAAAAAATTCATTTTCGGCAGGTGTTTGGTGGTGAAGAGGGATTATGGTTAAGTCGGGCTTATGATTAAAATCTTAAAATTACAAATTAAATTGTTTAGCATTTATTTATAGATGATGCATGTTGGAAAATAATTTAGGCTTATATATGAAAATGTCAGGGAGTCACAACCTCCCCCCTAGTTTTGCCCCTGGTATTTATGATACAAAACCTCCCCAAAATTGTATTCTATGTTCCACACTGCCTGGAAGGATTTGTATATTCTTTTGATGAATTTCCTGTAACATAAAGTACAATTTAAATTTGATTGAAACAAAATAATACATTACTTCTTTCTCTTCTTTCCTGATTTCTAGGTTTAGTATAATTATTTATATAACTATATAGGGACCTATAACTTAAATTAATAGTACAATAAATATAATTACTTAATTAACCACAATTAACATTAATTCTAACTTGTGAAATATTAACTCAGTTTTAATATCACTTGAACTGGAACAGTTAAAAGCACTACAAAAATTCACCATTGTACCTATAAATTAGAACAGCCAGCATTGCCAATGGTACGATAATTATCGTATTTGTAAAATAATTTTGATAAATTATACGATGATTTTGATAATTTTTACCATGTACGATGTATAATTACTATCGTACACGAAATACGATAATTTTATAATTTTCGTTGGTTCTTGACTTTTTGTGGAAATTCAAATATTCAATATTATACCTATTAATACTTATATTATGTTATTTTCTTCTTTCTTGGGGGAATACCAAAGACAATAATAATACATATAGTTTATATTATTATTATTATTATTATTATCCCACAGATATATATAACTCACAGACATATTTTATCAAGTTATTAAACTATTTATAACTATTTGTTAAATAAGAGTTTATTATAAAGTCATTTTGTATATTACGACCAATTACGAGTCATTACTCATTAGTCATTGTTAGACGTTAGTCGTTACTTGGATCAGTCATATTTTTATTACAGTCTTATACTGTGTTATAGTGTTTTGTTCGTAAGTTCGTTGTTGTTTTATAGTGTGACTAGTGTGAGATATTTTCATGGATCATGAAAGTGATATTGGCCCGGCTTCCAGTCCAAGACATAATACACCGACCAAAACTAAACTAAAAAGAGGCAGCGAAGTTTCAAAAAAAAATAGGCCCAAACATCGACTTCAAAAATTTCGAAATGAATGATTAAAACATAAAGATTTTAAAGATTGGCTTGGCTTGCACCTGTTCCTCAAAACGAGTATATAGCGTTTTGCAAATTTTGTAAGGCACCTATGGTTGCGGAAATATCTGTATTAAGGACTCATCAAAATGGAAAAAAACATTCTCAATTACTAATGGGTATTAAAAGTAGACGACAAACATTATTGTCTAGTTTTAGAATACCAGCAGTTGAAACAGAAACAAACATCCAAAAAAAAAAAGATTTCTATAGCTGAAATTAAATAAACTGGCCGCATTTTTCGCAGAACACAATATTTCATTTTTAACAAGTGATCATTTGATTGATTTGTTGAAAGAAACATTTGATGATTCAGATACTGTCCAATGCTTAAATATGAAACATACTAAAACTACTGCAATCATTAAAAATGTTATTGGTGCTATACAAAAAATAGAATTGGCTAACAAACTAAAATCTTGCAAGTTTAGTATTATGACGGATGAATCAACTGATATTGGTACAATTAAAACATCATGTATAGTAGTCAGGTAATATTTCACAATTTCAATTTAATTTCAGTTTAATTTTTTTAAGACAATTACTTGTCTTAGGTTTTTTGATGAAGGTTCCAAAAAAATAGTGAGTACATTTTGGGAGCTAGGTACACAACGTTTTTGATAAATCAAATCCTAATTCAGCAAAATATTTGAAAAACGAATATATCCGTCGTCCACTCAGAATCTAATAAAAACGTACCCAATAATATAAATTCTATTTTTGTACCTGCCACATTTTGGCTTTCTTTCCGGACATAAATATTCACAAAATAATACCAGTTATATTGTGATACATTGGTATTCACTCAATATACCTATTTATAGTTATAATTTATAATGCTTTTATGATAAAGCCCATTCCCCATCGGCCGGCTCATATTTATTGTGCTAATGACGACTTTATGGTAAGATCATCAAATGTTTTAATAATGCGTAATTATTGTACAGTAATAATAATTTAATATACTAATCGTGTGGGCATACGTAAAATCGTAGGATACAACATGTATTATCATAGAATTTATGATAATATATTATTTATTTAAGTATTAATATATTAATATTGGTTAAAAAGGCATTATTATGTACACTTTCCAAAATATGTAAAACGCTAGTCCACTTTAAATTAGTATAGTACCAAGACATCGCTTAGAAGTAGTTCGAAAGTGCTTATCGACTTAAAAATGTTCCTATAGTTATTTGTTTTGTTTCTCTAATTGTTTCTTATTTTTTTGATTGCTTTGTTTTTATAAATAAATAATTCTAAGAATTGAATTAATTTTTTAATGGAATTCGTTAAAAAAATAGAAAGTTGATTCTTAAAAAAGATATCTATATAATTTGATATAACCAATATATTTTTTGCTCTTTCCGAATTAAAAAAACGTTATTATATTAACATTGATTACATTTTCTCATTTCATTGTAAAGTCAATATAAGAATGCAAAAAATGGTCTTACTGAAAGGTCTTTCCATTCCCGTTTTTCAATTCATAAATAAATTATAATTATCTCTTAATGTAAAATCATAGCGTAGGAAGGTTTATATTGTTTTAAAAAAGATAAATATATATTATATTAAGTTTGTCTGTGATAAGTTATATGCAAATTCTTACAACTTAATTTGAACTTTGTAGTCTAAACCCGTAAAGATTGGATAACGGTTGTAACTAAATCCATATGCATGTAATGATATACTTTTTTTTGTGTGTGTCTGTTTTCACGATTTGGAGTTCAATTTTATAACTCAGCACATTTTCTGGTAGGAAAGTGAATCTAGTTGCTATTTTTTTTCAGGGAAGAGAGGAGGTCAAAAGTACAAAATTCCCAATGTTTATCAAAAACTGAGATTTTTATTCAAAAGCAGTTTTCTAAAAAATTGATTTTGTTTTGTTGTAACTCTATTATATTAATATTGGCATAAACATAATTTATTTTAAATATCAGGACTGTTTTTAAGCTATTTCTATGTATGAGAAAATATTGATTTCTATAATTTGTTTTTATTAATTGTGAAACAAAAAATGTTATAAGAATTACGTAAGCATAGTATGTGACATCATGTTTAAAGACAAAAAAAAAATGTTTAAAGCAAAAATTATAATATTAAATAATGACCTTGATAATAATGAAAAAAAACCTTAAAGGTGAACCAAAAAACTATTAAATTAAGCTGTTAAATTGAACAATGCAGGTAACCGCCAACCGGTAGTTGTAGGTAAATCTACTTGTATGGAACTTTTCTTATTTGATCATTCACCTATAAATATTATATTGCATAAAATTAATATTTGAACATTGAAATTTTATATTTCTAAGTAGAGAATGCATCACAATTCCATAAAAAACACAATAATTCTTTGTTATTGGCCCAACAAAGCTAATAATTGAATGATGCAAGTACATTATTGTTTATCATCATTAAAACAAATCAGAGAATTCGATCTGCTGTGTGGAAAGTGTCTCGTGTACCTTGTCATTGACTACTTTAATAAGATATTATGATACATTTGATGAATAATAACTTAATTTGTTATTAAGTTATTATCGGTAGCTTAATATTACTTTGTCAACATTTCTTAACTACCTAATAATATAATAATTGTTTTGAAATATTTAAAAATTTGAAGATGTAATCTGTTTGTTGACGGAATATTTATTTTAATTTTTTTTCATTTAAAATTTAGATTCTAAGCGGAGATATTTACATAATTTATAATAATAGATTGATTTTACAACGATGCATTTTTTTATTTGTTTTTTTTTTTTTGTATCGAATTACTTCGATCTTCAACTATGAGAAGGTTTCTAAAAGATCACTTGATTCAGTTGGTATTTTTGTCAGAGGGAGTCAAAAATAAAAAAAAGTCCATATCATTTTTAAAATAATTAGGAAAAACAATCATTTTTACTCGAAACAGTTATCTTCAAAATCGATTTAAGTTTAAGAGACTAAAGTTTAAAATTTAAAATTTAACACACCTATTAAAGTAGGTAATAGATACGTTAAATTTGTTGGATAAGAACTTAATGACAAGAACCGTATATGAGGATAAATCGTTGTTCTTATACGAATGAATAATCGATGTTCAAAACAACTATTATACTTTTGGGTATTTAAGACTTGTTAACAAAATAATATTAAATTACCTGTATTAAAATTAAAACATGTAATAAGGTTGTGATAAGGTATACCTCATTTGGTTTATATGGCCAGGTATCAGGATTTCTTCCAATCATATATAAATATAATGAGCCATCGGGCCAAGTCCTTTGGCCCTCGGAGACATATGGAAGTTCTTTTTCTCCCAAAAGATTTGCAAGTCCTTCACATTGACTTACATCCAGTTTTTCTTCTCTTTCTTTGGAAATTGCAATGCGTATTATCCTTGTTCTGTCTTGCTTGTTGTCCTGCACATCGTACATCTGTGCGCAGAAAGAAAAACACAGATATAGAGAAAGAAAATTAATCAACCGTATCTTATAATAAAATAACTCGGCTTCGAACTGGTGCAGTTTTGTCTTCAGATCATTACCATTATTAATAACATAAATTGTAATTATTAATACTTATTACTTTTTTGTGTCCGTCTTACAAACGTACAACATGACAAACTGTACATTTACAATAATATATTTTACTCTGTAATTTTTAAAATTATAGTGAATATTACACCTTCTAAAATGTAAAGGCAAGAATATTATGTGGAGCATCTCGGAAGATTTTATTGATGTTATTATTTTTAAGTAAGTTATGACTAGAGCTAGAATTTTAATGACCCAAAAAAAATACAGCACAAAAATGAACTAAACATTTGCAAAAATGACCTAAAAATTCTAAAAAATGTCCAAAAAAGTACTCTGATGAGCGAAAAAAATTAATTTTAAAATAAATATGTATTTTTATTAATTATTAGTTTTTCATTTTTTATGTTACACAAAAAAGGTAAAAATTTGTTTTAAGAAGTAAATTAAAGAAATATATTAAAATTTAAGTTAACTTGTGAGTCTAATTAATAAATATAATTACTTTTCGATTCATACCCACTTTGCCGAATCCCAATTCGCCAACTACTCAGTTTGCCGACAAATATACCACTTTTAAAATATTTTTAATATTATTTTATTAATATAGTTTCATTTTCCCCATTTGCCGACAGGCAACAGTAATTTTATCGGCAACGGGTATAACAGCGATAATATTATTGTATGTTGTCGATATAAGTTCAAAGGTACTATTTTTATAAGGGTACTATAGATACTAATTGAGATTGCCTATACAACACATATAAAAAAAACTTAAGATAAACAAAAATTAGTTTAAATACACAAATTGAACGTAATATTTGTAAAAATTAACTAAAAAATTCAAAAAAATGCAAAAGTCACCAAAATCCTAGCTCTAGTTATGACCATTTTTAAATTGTACATTTTTTAAACATTTTAAAATAATAACAGGCAGTGTACATATTCATAGGTTTTAAATATAGAATTTCTAATGTATTTTCCGTTCAATATTTTTTATTTTTTAAACTATGATGGATAGTTGTTAATTGGTGTTAATTAACGATTGGACGTTATGTATAACATAGTATATTACACATATGTAATTGTTATACAAATATAATATATTATGTGATTCCCCAAACCCTTTAAATAGGGCGTGCTTAATTAATTTCTCTGTGCGAAATTACGAGTCGAGTTACATTGATTAGGCGGGCGGGGGAGGGGGGAGAGCGTGGCCACATATATTTTATCGTTTGCTAGCAGTATTAATTGGTATGATTATAATATTTTCACGCAAGGTCTATTATTTGTTTTTAATTATGATTTAAAATAACGTTAACATAGAATACTCACGGCACACCTGTAGAATACCCTTTTATCTAGGGATTTTTCATCAACTACAAGTTCCAGCAGTGAAATGAACTTAAATCCTTGGTCAGCTAATATTCTGTTGATAGGATTTTCCTTCGACAAGCACTCAAATATTAGGTGATCCATATCTGATAGAACATGACAACAGAACAAATACATACATATGGTTAATATTTTTGCTTAGAAAGTATTGTTATGACAATGGCATTTTGTCCACAAAAAAATACTCTATGAAAATAATGATCCTGTCCTGTAGAACCAACCAAATTTGATCTTTTTTTTTATACTAATAGAGAGTAATATTCTACAGACCGCATTGAACTCTGTTTTTCGATATTTAATTTTAAACTTTATTATGTCTTTAAAACTAAGACAGTTTTAAGCTTTTTAATACAAATTAATTTTTAAAATTATTTGAAATAAAATAAAAATTAGAGTTAAATGCTGCCTGTAATAAGTCTTCTTCTTTCTCATAAAAAAATATTTTCATAAGTTTGACAACTCAACAAGGAATGAGACACTCTTTTGTGAAGTCATTTGTGTTGATGAAATTACTGTATGGACACCACCCGAAAATTATTATAATTAAAGTGATAATGAAAATACAAAAAAAGATTTTCAAATTGTATTGAATTTGAAAATTCTGAATACCGACGCCCTTCCTTTCCCAACGTGTTGTAATAATAATGATTCGTTAAACATACTCCGAATGTCAATGCAATGGCTGTGTTCTATAGTTGACACTGGACGTTCTAACCACAAATGGAATAATGGTGATGCGCTTAGTAATTTGTTCCTTTCCATGTAAGCGCATCCGTACATCGGTGTCACTGTCTGTATAGTAGATACCTCGAATTTATCCCTTAGCCCAAACGGAGGACATAATAGCCCATTTAGACTATCGCGGCCTGAAACACACAAGAAGAAAATACTGCATTACATTATAAACGTATTTTTTTAATTTTTATTATTGAGTTGGGCTTCAACATCCTAGTCATTCGCCTGGGTTATTATGGTTATTCTAGTTATTCGGGTTATTTTCGTTAGGTTATTCGGGTAGGTTTATTTTACCATGGGGATTGTACGGTTGGTTAGAACACATGTATATGTGGCGAATATTTGTCACTAAAAACCCGGTGGTTACCCATCCAGACATCCGAAAAAACTAGTGATAACGGCCGGCTGATGCATGACCTGAGGCTACTAAAAGTATGTAATTTTGTTTGAACCAATACTATTCTTATTGTTTTTCAAAAGGGTTCAAAAGTTCACGCTCACGTTCATTGTCCTATAAAATGGACGCGTTTATAAGAAAAAAGAAGAACGCGTTCATTACACGTTCGGTGTTGCTAGAAAATCCCTAGATATCAAATATCATTAATATGGACATTATCTCCCAAGACTGTGTTCTGAAGTGATAAGAATGAGTGATAACTGATGAGAAAAAAATTCCAATATTAATAGGTGTCATTGATAATTAAATATTACTGTAGTGAGCCGCCACCACATGATTTCCCCCGGAGTTGGTAACATTGTTATATTGTTGGTCACCATGGTTTTCGGCGGTACGTCGACTATCGCGTCCGGCGGCCTGTCCCCTCTCGCCATCGCTCAACGGCATTGGCGACCTTCACGCACGAAAACCTCGTGACTACCGTCGCCGCCCGTATCCGTGGCTTTTTGTATATTATAATATTATATCATAAATATTTTAAATGTAAAATACAAAAGCTTAAAAATTAATAACCATCAAGTTCAATTAATACCCACAATATATTATATTATTATAAAACAATTATTAATACTATAGTTATTTTTTTCGTATATGGCAGGAGAATAAAATTGTGAAATAAAAGCGATCTCAGTAGTAATAATTACAAATTAAATTAAAATCGAATTAACAAAAAATATATATATTAGGATAAAATAAATATCTTAAACATTTGAATGATAAATTATGAAATTTATAAAATAATACATAATGCTCATTAGTCATTACTCACCATGATTGCGAATGCTTATATCTACTTCCATCATAACTTGTGATGTGAAATTTAAATAACGTGGGGCTGCCAACACAGGGTAGGTGATGGCCAACAAAAGGTTGGAATCGACCTAAAGAACGGACGGAATAAATAAACGTGATCAAGTCTGCTGCCGGTGAGAAAAAACGTTTGAGTTAATGGCAATAACACGGTTTAGCACAAGAATGACGAGCGCCGAGCGGTGCACCCTGAGTGTCTTTTTAGTAGCTAGCCACCTCGGTGTGGTGAAGGTGGGAGCGGTTTCCCATCACTGCTGTAACGTTGAAATCATAGGTGTATTGTACCAACATACACAAACTCGGGACGCTCTACATTGAACAAAAAATATTGAACGGAAAATTCATTAGCAATGTTGAGCAATACCTAGGTAAATTATCTAAATAAATTATCTAGATAAATAATGAACTATCTTTTATCTTATCTAGACAATAAATTTTATTGATTATCTGATGAATAATCTTAGATTGTTGATGAATGTTAATTTATAAATTAAAAATAATCAAACATAAATACAGTGTAGTAGTTAGACGGACAAAACATGTTCGTGACGTCTCAACGTTTGTGTTATCGTCTTATCGGTGCGACGCACAGTGGTTCAAAATGAAAGTTTGGCGCGTCAAAAATAAAAAAAAAAAAAGTTGTCTTATAAATATTTTTCTGATGATAAATTGGATGTCTACAAAATACTGATAACAAAAATAACTTTTTGAAATACCCATATCGAAATAACTGCAGATAAGAAATGCATTATCGAGAGTAAATATGTGAACGTTGTTCATTTATCGAGTAAACGCCGAAAAGAAAGTACGTATTATATTTTTCATAAATTGTTGTGTAATTTTTTTTGTTATATTTTTAAAAATTAATATGGACATGGAAATTGAAGGTAAGTTGTTCAAGTTTAAAAATTGCTACTGTTTTAATTATTTAATTGTATTGCAGTATTAAAACTATTGAATAATTGATGATTTCGTGAATTTAAAGAGCTAAGAATGGGAATTACCCAATTTTGCCTTTTTATAAGCTATTGTAGATTATAGTACAAGTTCTCAGCTTTCTAATCATGTATAATTTATCTGCCTTTAGCTGCCTTTGAGACTCTAGCAATTTTATTACCAAAGAAAATATGTTATTACTTTATCAGATAAGTACCTTGAAAATTAAAATATTAAGTATCATATTAAAATTGTATGTTCAACAAGTTAATATAAACGTGTGTGTATGTGTGTATAAGAATAAAAATAGCTTTAATTACATAAATTATACATTTCTGAAATAAAATTCTACAAATTCAATATAATATATTATTTCAGACAATGTTTGTGAAAAAAAATTGACGTTTAAGACACTGTTTTTGAAATTAAGAAATAATGGACCTTTGTCACCTCAAAAACATTGATTCTAGAAAATATTTATTGGATTTTATCATACAAAATTACGGTTTTAAGAATTGGGATACAAGTTATGTAGAAAAAATAGAAACAGAAATCTTGAATTTTTCACATTCTCTCAACAAAAAAATGGTCAGGTTGTAATCGAACTTGGAATATATTTATGAATAAATATAAAGAATGGTTGAAAGTATTTGATTTTGGTTGGTAGAAGCTTCAGTATATTTAAAGACTGCTTCGAAAACCCCAGGAAATTCAAACAATAGTCTAAGATTTTGTTTCATTGATAACAAATGTCCTTGAACTGGTACCATTATTTGTCGATCTATGCATGAAATATTTTTTTTTTCAATTGTATAACCTATCACTATTGTTTTGGGTTTAAAAAACAAATTATTATCCTCAAAAAATTTAAATCTCTGATATTCAGTTTTGAAATTGAAAAAAGGATTAGCCAAAGTATCAAATAAATAATCTATTTCATTTTTTTTCAGAAATACTGCACTCCTTTAAATGAGGCATAACCATGTTTTTTAAAAATGAAACAATACCACTAGAAAATAAATCTGATATTCCATCTACTATTTCCTGCATTAGAGTCTCAGTTACGGTAGGTTTTTTATATAAATTGATGATAAATTGTAAAACACTCTTAGTAATAATATTTTTATAAGATGTATTTAAATTGTTTAAGTTAAACATCACTGAACTATTTATTTGATTTTGCTCACATTCAGATAAATTATTATCAATGGTATCAGATGAATCTAATACAGAAGTACTATAATCAATGGTATCAGATGATTCTAATACAGAATTACTTAAATTATTAATTTCAACACAGGTGGTAGTTACTGGAGAAGTATGAAATTTCATTAAATGTTTCCTAAATTTATCAGACCCTCGAACATCTGTCATACACAAGTCTTGCCTACATGTATATACTGATTGGCTATTATAATGATGATATATTCTTAAATGCAAAATAAGTTGATTAATTGTAAGAATATTTAACGAACAAATGGAACATAAATACAAAGTGAAGTTTACTTAAATTCACTAAAATATATAAAATAATAGCATATAATAATATACATAAACTAATGCTATATAACTGTTTACTGCCTTGTCAATTTGATGTCAATGTAATAAATTAAGAATTCCCTATTCTTAAATAAAAAAAAATTATATATAAATTGAAATTTAAATGATTATGAATTGAGATTAGATGTAACAGAAGTGGTTATAGAAGTTGATTTATCATATTTTGTGAACAATTTAAATAAGTATTGTTGAATTACAAGCCAAGAGTCATAACATTCCGCAGGGTAAGCACAATTAAATACAAAATATGATTTAAAACAAATTTCAAGAGCTTTTAAAGGACAGTCGAAACACCATAACTTTTTATTTACCCTGATGTAAGAAGAATCGATGGAGCTTAAATCTTTTCCAACAAAGATTATATAAGGCTGTATTTTAGCTCCATATTGACTGTATATTGACTGTCTCTTATCAATATCTTCTTGAAGACCAGTCAGATTCTATTTAAATTAAACAATAAACACCAATATAAGTATAAATATATTCATGAACTTATTTTAAATGAGAAACTTACATTACAAAAATAAGCAAATGCAGAAGAAGATTCTAATTAATGAAGGCTTCCAACATTTATTTTTTCCATTATGTAAAATATTTTTCATTAATGTTTTGGTCGGAATCAAATAAGGTAATTTTTTAATTTTTTAATTTTTTTAATAAGTAATTTTATAACATTTGCTGTTTTTAAATCTTAAATAATAGTAATTAGAATAAAAATTAATACAATATAATATGCAAAAATATGGGTACCTACTACAGTACTACTAAATACCTACTAATACAGTAAAATAAATAATGGCCTTATTAAAATATTATAGAATATATATATAGAATTTTTAAAAGTGTAAAAGTTTTTAATATAATATTGTTTATTGGATGTACTTTATATTTAAAAAGACTAGTTGGACTTAGTTGAGTATAGCACATCACTGATTTATATCCAAAATTAAAAACACAAAATTAATCCCAAAATACAAATTTTGGACTTGAAAGCGTTTCTTGTGAACACAGGGAACTTTAATAACTTAACTTAAGGAGTTAAAAATGAGTTAACTTTCCTAAAATTAATACAAAAATAGTTATTCTTATTAGACTCACTTCCATTGAGTTCAGCTGAATCCAAATTTGACAATAGATTAATAGCATATTTATCCTTAATACTGCTTCTTCTTATTTTTAATAGTTTAGTTGAGAACACTTCCCAAAATTGTTTCAAAAAACAATTAAAATCTTTGAATAAATCATGTGATTCAGTATACCCAATACGATGGTCTTCAACAATCTGTCCAAAATAATAATTCGAATACATTAATATTACAACATATTGACATAGGACATAGCAATAACCATATTATGTTGATTGTTAATTTTAGGGAGACATTAATGTTAGTAGACCACTATATCTGACTAACCTAATATTAATGTTATTTAGATAAGACTCAAATATTATAGTTTTAAAAGCATTGAAAAATTTGTTTAGAAATAAACATTATAAGAATGTATTAAAACTAACATAAAAACATACCAATTCATAACCAATCGGACACTGAAGTGCAGGCCAAAATTCAAATAAGTCTGCCAAATATTTATTGCTGGAATTTAAAATTTCAATTTAAAATATATACTATTCATACGTAATAAAAATAAAATAATTTATTTGTATTAAATTATAAATACCAGAAAATGAAATATTTGTAGCTGTAAGTTGTAGGTTTTTTACCACTGAAGAAGAACTTATAGCACCAACTGTCCTTAAGCGCCTAGCTACATTCTTCCACCTTTCTATCAGTTTTCCCTTTGCATGGGTTTGAGTAGGTCCCTCTGACCTTGCTGGTATAAAGTAAACACTCTAAATTCAAACAAAAAATAAATAAAATCTATTTGTCTGAGGTAAAATTAATTGAATCTATAAGAAAGTATTGTGTATACTATTTATTACCTTATGCTCTTCGGGAAATACTTGCACAATCAAATCAGATATTTTACGAAAAAATAAATCATTACCTCTGTAATATTTCAAATTAGTATCAATTTAATTATTTTAAATATAATAAGTATCTATGTTTTATTCATACTTGCTATGATCCTGGAATAGGTGATTTATTAAGAGTTGCGTGAGTATATTCTGAGCTTCGTCAGATAAAAACCCATTATTTTTTTTAGCATCCGCAAGTACATATCTTCCGTCATTTGTTGTATGCAATCGTTCTAATATTGTCTATTATTATAATAGTTTAATTGTTAATATTTATTGTAATGCAATTTCATAAATCATTTATATTTTAACAAGTTCAATCAAATAAGTATCTAATTATTTTAATCAGTTTCATTCAATAAGTGTAGGTAAAAACAAATAACACTTAGTTGATTATTTTTTTGGTAAATATTTATAAATTAGGGTGCCAAAGTAGTTAGTTTATTTTTCAAAACAAAAATACACAAACAATTATGTTTTATTTCAGTTACATACACAACATTTTTTAATAATAGACAATATTAAAATTATTAAAATGTCAAGTGCAAAAAATTATGAAAAACATGATTTTTCACAGCTGACCATGCCATTTCAATGGGGTTTAATTCACATTGGTACGGAGGAAGACGTAAAACGTCTTTATTATACTGTTTCACATATTCGTCCATTACGTACATATCATGCAAATGTTTGATTCTGCGAACTACTGTCATGAGTTGAGATATGACCATAGGTTTGTTGATAACTTCTCCTTTATCCTGGAGCCATTTTATGATATCCGCCTTTTTGGTCCCACTGGTTACGGCTTTGTTGAGTTTCGCAGAATGGT